GTGATGGTGGTGATGGTAACAATGCTTGAGTGTACCATGAGGGTGGTGAAGGTAACACTGCTTGTGTGTACCATGATGGTGGTGATGGTAACACTGCCTGTTTCTACCATGATTGTAGTGATGGTAATACTGCCAGTGTGTACCATGATGGTGGTGAAGGTAATTCTCCCTGTGTGAAACCATGATGGTGGTGAAAGTAACACTTCCTGTGTCTACCATGATTGTAGTAATGGTAACACTGCCTGTATACACCATGATGGTGGTGATGGTACAACAGTCTATGTGTACTATGATGATGGGGATGGTAACACTGTCTGTGTGTACTATGATGGTGGTGATGGTAACACTGTTTGTGTGTACTATGATGGTGGTGATGGTAACAATGCTTTTATGTACCATGATGGTGGTGATGGTAACACGTTCTGTGTATACCATGATGGTGGTGAAGGTAACAATGCTTGTGTGTACCATGATGGTGGTGATGGTAACAATGCTTGTGTGCACCATGATGGTGGTGATAGTAACACTGTCTGTGTGTACTATGATGGTGGTGATGGTGGTGATGGTAACAATGCTTGAGTGTACCATGAGGGTGGTAATGGTAACAATGCTTGTGTGTACCATGAGGGTGGTAATGGTAACAATGCTTGTGTGTACCATGATGGTGGTGATGGTAGCACTTCCAGTGTGTACCATGATGGTGGTGATGGTAACACTGTTTGTGTGTACCATGATGGTAGTGATGGTAACACTGCTTGTGTATATCCCGATGGTGGTGGTGGTGGTGGTAGTGGTGGTATCACTGCCTGTGTGTACCGTGATGGTGATGGTAACCGTGTGTGTGTGTACGATGATGGCGGTCATGGGAGCACTGCCTGTATATAATGTTGGTAGGGATAGCAACACTACGTATGTGTACCATAATGGTGGTGCTGGCAACACTGCATGTGTAAATTGATGATAATACTATATGTACCATGATGGTGGTGATGGTAGCACTACCTGTGTGGACTAAAAGGGCAGTGATGGTAACACTTCCTGTGTGTACCATGATGATGGTGATGGTAGCACTACCTGTGTGTACTATAAGGGCAGTGATGGTAATACTGCCTGTGTGTACCATGATGGTGGTGATGGTAGCACTGTCTGTGTGTACTAAGGGCAGTGATGGTAATACTGCCTGTGTGTATAAGACGATGATGACAGGAACGTGGCCGTGTGCACCATGATGGGGTGATTGTAACACTGCCTGTGTATACCCGTGATGATGGTATAGCACTCTTTCTGCCATGATGGTATTGATGGTAACGTTGTTTGTGTACCATGATGGTAACAGTCTTCACTGTGTTGGAAAAACTATGTATGCCATGATGTGGTAACACTGTGGGTACCATGATGGTGGTGATGGTAACACTTTTTTTGTGTACCGTGATGGTGGTGATGGTAACACTTCCTGTGCTTGCAAATAAAAATGAGCCAAGGTTGATATTTAGAAAACTTGAACATGACTTAGAATAAAAGAATTTATAAGAAATTAAAGGGAGGAGGAGGAGCAGCGGCTCAGAAATAGGTATAATGAACTGACTGGAATGTTACGAACAATGCAAGGAAAGCAAGAGAGACTATGTAAATCAGGATAGCAAGAGAATCCGGCGAATCCCAAAGGAATTTTCAGGTATAGAACAAAAAGGTCAGGACAAAGTTGGGCCTTTAAAGTGAGGGGTTGGGGGTGATTGTTCCAGTGAAGAAATAAGCAAACATTGAACAGCTACTTTTATCAGTTTCACAGAAAATTCGCGAGAAATTCAGAGGAGGAACGCTGATATTTGAGAAAGGAAGAAATTAAAGAATATCACTATCAGAAAAGAGGATGGTCTTAGAGGATAAATAAATTAAAGACAAAATCCCAGGGGCTGATGGGAAATTTTCCTCGAGTCTTGAAAGAGTGTAGGGAACAGATTAGCGGACCCCTCGTAAATTTATTTACAAAATTATTAGACACGGGAGATGTGCCAGACTTGTGGAAACAGGCAAATGTAGTACCCATATTCGAAAAGGGAGACAGAGCATCAGCGTCAAATTACCGGCCAATCAGTTTGACGTCAGTAGTGGAGAAATTTCTTGAGTCAATTATAGCAAATAGCATCCGATCGCATTTAGAGAAAAGCAATTTAATCTACGACTCTCAACATGCCTGTCCGTACCATGATGGTGGTGATGGTAAAACTGTCTGTGTGTAGTATGATGGTGGTGATGGTGGTGATATTAACAATGCTTGTGTGTACCATGATGGTGGTGATGGTAACAATGCTTGTGTGTACCATGATGGTGGTGATGGTAACAATGCTTGTGTGCACCATGATGGTGGTGATGGTAACACTGTCTGTGTGTACTATGATGGTGGTGATGGTGGTGATGGTAACAATGCTTGAGTGTACCATGAAGGTGGTGAAGGTAACACTGCTTGTGTGTACCGTGATGGTGGTGATGGTAACACTGCCTGTTTCTACCATGATTGTAGTGATGGTAATACTGCCAGTGTGTACCATGATTGTGGTGATGGTAACACTGCCTTTGTGTACCATGATGGTGGTGAAGGTAATTCTCCCTGTGTGAAACCATGATGGTGGTGAAAGTAACACTTCCTGTGTCTACCATGATTGTAGTAATGGTAACACTGCCTGTATGCACCATGATGGTGGTGATGGTACAAATGTCTATGTGTACTATGATGATGGGGATGGTAACACTGTCTGTGTGTACTATGATGGTGGTGATGGTAACACTGTTTGTGTGTACTATGATGGTGGAGATGGTAACAATGCTTTTATGTACCATGATGGTGGTGATGGTAACACGTTCTGTGTATACCATGATGGTGGTGAAGGTAACAATGCTTGTGTGTACCATGATGGTGGTGATGGTAACAATGCTTGTGTGCACCATGATGGTGGTGATAGTAACACTGTCTGTGTGTACTATGATGGTGGTGATGGTGGTGATGGTAACAATGCTTGAGTGTACCATGAGGGTGGTAATGGTAACAATGCTTGTGTGTACCATGATGGTGGTGATGGTAGCACTGCCTGTTTCTACCATGATTGTAGTGATGGTAATACTGCCAGTTTGTACCATGATTGTGGTGATGGTAACACTGCCTTTGTGTACCATGATGGTGGTGAAGGTAATTCTACGTGTGTGAAACCATGATGGTGGTGAAGGTACCACTTCCTGTGTCTACCATGATTTTAGTAATGGTAACACTGCCTGTATGTAACATGATGGTGATGATGGTAAAACTGTCTATGTGGACTATGATGGTGGTGATGGTAACACTGTTTGTGTGTACTATGATGGTGGTGATGGTAACAATGCTTTTATGTACCATGATGGTGGTGATGGTAACACGGTCTGTGTATACCATGATGGTGGTGAAGGTAATACTACCAGTGTGAAACCATGATGGTGGTGATGCTATAACTGCCTGTGTCTACCATGATTGTAGTGATGGTAAAACTGCCTGTGTGTACCATGATTGTGCTGTGGTGTGAAACCATGATGTTGGTGATGGTAACAATGCTTGTGTATACGAGGATGGTGGTGATAGTAACACTGCCTGTCTGTACTATGATGGTGGTGATGGTAAAATTACCTGTGGGTACCATGATGGTGTTGATGGTAAAACTGCCTGTGTGTACCATGATTGTAGTGATGGTAACACTGCCTGTGTGTACCATGATGGTGTTGATGGTAAAACTGCCTGTGTGCATTATGATGGTGTTGATGGTAACACTGCCTGTGTGTACCATGATTGTAGTGATGGCAACACTGCCTGTGTGTACCATGATGGTGTTGATGGTAAACTGCCTATGTGTACTATGATGGTGTTGATGGTAACAGTGCCTGTGTACCCATGATTGTAGGAAGGGCAACAACACCGCCCGTGTGTACCATGATGGTGGTGAGGGTAACATTGCCTGCGCCCATGATGGTGCGATATAACACTGAATGTGTGTACCATGTTGGTGGTGATGGTAACACTGAATGTGTACGATGATGGTGGTGATGGTAACACTGCCTGTCTGTACCATGATGGTGGTGATGGTAACACTGCCTGTGTGTACCATAATGGTTTTGATGGCAACACTGCCTGTGTGTACCATGTTGGTGGTGATGGTAACACTGAATGTGTGTACGATGATGGTGGTGATAGTAACACTGCCTGTGTGTACCATGATGGTGGTGATGGTATTATTGCCTGTGTCTATTCTGATTGTAGTGATGGTATCACTGTCTGAACCAGAGTGATACTGTGATTTAATTCCTTTAATGCATTTAATTTTTCTTTATAATTCCGATCTCAGGTATAACCCTTGTTCCCCAGAGTAGTGTTTAAGTTAGGTTAGGAATTGTGCATCTGTTGGGGTGATATAATTTTGTTGAAAGCCCTTAAGGCCTGTTTCATGTGTGCAAGCAACATTTCTTAATACTTTAAATTTATTGATGCCTGAGTTTCTAATAATTTCAATATCATGTATAACTTTTATTCCCCAGAGTCGTGTTTTAAGTTCAAGTTAAGAGGTGCGCATATTGGTGCACCATTATTTGATTGTGTTTGTAGTGTTGGAGGGAATATAAGTGTCTAAATTTTACAGTGTGTCTCATTCATCCCAGTCACAGACGCTATCCTTCCACGGGTCACGGACAAGTCATTTTGTTTAGTAGATTTTAGTGTTCTTGTGCTGGTTCGGGATTTTTCTCACTAAGGGGCGCTTCCACTGCAATTACCATCTAACAATCTTTAATAAACCCCAAGTCAAGTGAGAAATTAAAGTCCAGTAAATTCCGACCGGTTACATATATATATATATATATATATATATATATATATATATAAATATATATATATATATATATATATATATATATATATATATATATATATATATACATATGTGTATATATATATATTTTTTTTTTTTTTTTACAGTATATAAAATATGGACACACACATGGGTGAAGCTAATTATGTTAGGAGACATGTGTCTCTGGATTCTATAAAAGAGTCTGCCAAGAACTATACTGTCAGCCAGTCTTATACAGGCAGCTGGTTAGTGATATGGGACGAAAAGCATCAGGCTGTCCTGGTTTCGGTATTGGTACAACAATACTGCTGGTCCATGATGTGGGTAGTTGGCCCTCGGCATGACTCATATTGTACAATGCCAATAATGGATTGCCCGGCACACGCCTTAGTAGTCTAACGATGTTGTAGGTGACTCCGTCCTCTCCAGGGGAAGTAGACCTACCCCTGGCGAGGGCGGCGTCAAGCTCCCACTCAGTATATGGAACATCACACTCATCGTGCTGTTTGCCCAGCATAAAGCTAATAAGATTACTTCTCTCTACAGTACAGACTTCGCATCAAGGAGTCCCCGAGTCCTAGCTGGTAACATGTCATAGCTCGACACATGAGCCCACTTTGTTATTAGCTCATTCGACTTTTGCAGAGGGTTTGGATGGGAGACGTGTTTACTGTTTTTACCTCTGATTGTGTTTATGTCTTTCCAGGCTTTGCTGAGGGATGTGTGTTGGTTCAGGCTGTTGACATATGTCTCCCATGCATTTTGTCTGAGTTCGTTTACACGTTCCCTGACAGCAGCAAGGGAAGCTTGATACAATTGTAACATTTGAGGTGTTCTACATTGTCTGTAACCCTTACCCACCCTCCTGACCCTAGCCCTGAGTTTTTTCAGCTCAGGGTCATTATAGCACTGCTGTTGCCTGTTCCCATTATGCTGACCACGTTTTCTCCTTTTTTTGGTGGAGTCATTGTTGGTGAAGTATGTATAAGTCTTATCTATCAGATCGTCATGGAAACTTTGGTAGTTGTCAGGTTAGTAGTCCTTGTACCAGTCATGGATGAAGTCTATGAACTGGCTTTCATGTTCTTGCTTGACTGTGATTCTACGTCTGTTGAGTTCACCACCAGTGGGGGTGTCATTGGCTACATGTATACTAGCTTGGATTGGGCTGTGGTCAGACATAAGATCAGTGACAACATCAGAGCTATGAGTTGTGTATGATAGATTAAAACCAATACACTAGTCTAGACCCCCGCCATAGATGTGTGTTGGTTCATTATTACCTATAATTTGAACATCTTCATATGCGCTGAGAAGTGAGATAAGTCTCCTACCATTGGTGTTAGTGGTGGAGTCACCTAATTTCTTGTGTCTAGTATTCAGGTCACCCATCAGGACAGTGGGCTCAGCGTGTAAAAAGTCTGGGAGATCTGTGTACTGAAGCTGATCTGAGGGAGCATAGGCATTTAGCACGTTGAGTGTGGAGTTGCCCAGGTGGATAGTGATCCCATGGTACTGAAGGTTGGTAGTCTTTTTGGATACAAGAGGTACATGCGGGAGTGACTTCTTAACATACATCAAACATGTGTGAGTAGAACTAGGATCATAATACACATAATTGGGCAGACTGGGTGGGGGCTTACCATTAGGTGTGAGACACTCCTGCAGACACACACTATCGATGTCCTCAGTCACAACTTTGTGGTGTAGGTCTGCGCAGAAGGAAGGGTGGCTGGGCGGCCCACCGCCCTTGGCATTGGATTACCACAACAGCCAACAATGTTTTCCATAGCAACATTACTGTTACTGTTACAATCACTGAGGTCTAAATCTTAGAGGGTATGGCAGTGTGACCTGACGAAAAGGCACAGTATCAGTATCAGATGTGTGTGTGTATACACAGATAGGAGGCGCTCTTTCTGCGTTTATGTTGCTGGCGGCCCCCATGCTGGCAACAGGCGCCGACTGAGGAGTCAGGGACTGAGGGGTCATTTGAGGGAGATTGACCAATAAGAGCACCCTATGTGGGCACTTGTCCCCATATGTGGTTAGACCACACAACCGACCAGGATTTTTTTTTATTTATTGGGCACTCCCCTACATCCTTGTGTAAGGTGAAGCGCAGAAGCGTTTACAGCTCTCAACAGGGAAGCATGCTAAGTTCATGCTTGCCTTTATGTCTCATGAGTTAAGGGCGTAGAAGCCTGAAGAGTCAGGGGCATAAAAGCCTGAAGAGTCAGTGGTTTATGTCATCAAGTTATTGGAAGCTCCAACAACTTTCCTTGAATACGAATTCGCAACTTTCGACTTACAACAGGTACCTACTTTACTGCTAGGTGAACAGGGACTAATGGGGGCTAGGAAGTAAGTCCAAACAACTTCCACCGGCCCGGGAATCGAACCCGTGACCTCTCGCTTGCAAGGCAAGAACGATACCGCTTCGACCACCGATCCCCCAAGTGAGATAAGTTGTGGGATCTCACTTGTAGGTGTATAGGTCGCGACCCTCGGCTGTACCAAATGCGCACTTAACTTCTCACCTGTCACTTGGTGGTTGTGGTCTCAGTCTTATATGGTGTCGGTAACCTGCGTTGCTTGATAGTCAGGACTCGAACCCAGGACTCAATTGAGACATTCATGCATTACTGTTGTATCACCAACTTCCTAGATTAGATTAGGTTATGTTCAGTTAGGATACTTTTGATTAGGTTAGGTTAGGTTAGACTAGATTGGGTTAGATTAGATTAAGTTAGATTAGGTTAAGTTAAATTTGGTTAGGTTAGGCTAGGTTAGGTTAGGTTAGGTTAGGTTAGATTAGGTTAGCTTGAATTTAATCGCCAGGTGAAAATATGTTGGGGTGCTTAATCCTTAGAGGATTCATAAGTTGCCCTTTCTTCTTCAGGGTCATGGATCCTCACCGAGAGCCACACCACTCACCGCAGAGTGAACCAACAGGAGACCCAGAAGAACTTACAGGTCAGCCAGAAGAACTTAAATGGGAGCCAAAGTTAGAGGGACGTAAGGAGGAAGCAGTCGTGTTGGGGATGAGTGACCAGACACATCAGAGCCACTGCGACCAGGTGAGAGAGAGAGAGAGTAGTTTATATAAAACATCAGTTTCAGAAATATTGGAATGCACCAAGAATAAACTCTCCCCGAGTCAAATTCTGCCTGTCTCATTTTTCCTTGATAGTACAGTTCCGATGTTCAGAGCTTGGTTGTCGTTATTTTGTTTTTCCTTTGGACGGAAATTTTACATTTTGGGAAACTAAAGAGTATAATTAATTAAAAACCAATGTTTCTGTTTTCCTGAAAGTATGTACGGCGGCCATCTTGGATTTAAAAAAATGACCACCCACGAAGCATTTTTCTCAATATTTCTGGTTCTATGCCACTTCGGGTCTTGATTATAATGGATAAACTTACATTTTCGGGGCAGTAAATCCAATGGTACGAAGCACAATGTTTTATACTTAGGCAACATCTATGAATAATTAAATCTAAATGGCCTTAAAGGAAAGACTATCAGGGGCAATATTATAGTATAATAAAACGCAATACGATGAAGCAAAATCGTTTACTGGGAAACATCAATTATCATCATCATAATCATCACTTTTGTCATTCAATGTAGTGTCCCGAAAAAATTCATCATTCTGGCACTTTGTACTGCACAGACAGATATCTGAAATGTTAAGTCCTTTGATTTGCAAGAGCATCTGGAAGAGGAACAATCCCTTTTGCACTGACATCTGACCATCTTGATGATAGCCTTGAGGGTTTGGAGGACCTCCGTTGTCATCGGCTTCACTTGACTATCGATATCCTTGTAGAAGCCATTCTGAGCGATACTTGCCTGACCCCATGCTCTAGCCTGGATATGTGTTCTCAGGATGTGGTCTTTAAGAGCGCCAAAGGTGGGAGGAAGTTTGTGATTTGTTCATGTGCTTGCAGAAGCGGTGCCATCGCAGTTCAGGGATATTCACAATCTGGATGCCTTATGGTGAGTATGCAGCACACACGAATGTAGGTAGTTTGGATCGCATATCTTCAGTAGCCTCTGTAAGCTACTGCAGAGCCTTGATGACATATTCATCTGCTTTCAGGAAAACACCAGCCAGATTGTCTTATTCGAGAGAAGCACCCAGTGGTGTCTGTGTAGTACCCAAACACTTACCCTTGATTACAAATTATCAGTCTACAAATTTTCATGTAACTTTCATCATTAAACCATTTCATTAATTTTATTTGAAAACATTAACAATAATTAAACTTTAAAATAGCTAAACAATTAAAGTGGTTGACAGGTGTCTGGTAATGTGAAGGGCAGTAAAAACCATAGTACAATTTAACTTTATAAACAAACTCTATAATAAACTCAGGGCATTTGTGAAGCGGCAAAACAAACAACTATGAGTAAGCATAATAAAAGCATGAGTTATTGGTACAGCAAAACATATCACTAACGTTAAACAAGTCACAAGTTATGGCAGCTCAAGTAACATCTAAAAAAATAATCCATAACCTAATAAATTAATACCTATAAATGTGACAGCCCAAAAGTGCAAATAGACAAAAGGCATGGAAATTAAAACCGCCAATAAAAGCCAAGACTAACTCAACCGGCAATCATTATGTTCCACACACAAACTAGTGATGTTGCTTAAATTACTATATTACTTCAGTTCAAGAAAGTGCTTTGTAAACTTAGAATGCACGTTCTACTTAACTAAGGGACTGGAAATCCTCGAATAAAGGTCAGCCAGCACACACAAATATCGTCCGGGCGATAACAGTGTCTGGTCCAGATGTCACAGTCACACACCACAGACCTCTCGTCACTCGAGTGAGTCGAGTTACATCGTTGTGCATTGTGGGTATGACGTGGCTGTTGTGGACATACATGCTGGTAAGGCCAGCTAACAACTTCAGTAACAATCAATAGCAATGGACACTAATAAAAGCTGACACTAAGCATATGTTGAATTAATTTCAATGTTAAAACCAACAAACTATTAATATTAACAATAAAATCGGTGGGACGAACACAAGAAAATCTTTTGAACGAACCAAGAATGAGTTAAAACAACAAATAAATACAACTGTACAACATAGCTTCCCACCATTATCTCATAAATTAACCCTGACAACATCCAACCTGCCATATCCAGGTTGGACATATTTTGAAATAGAGATAAGATAGAAGACGCTGAGGATTAAGGTTGTTATGTTTTGAAGTTTATTCACGTCAAAACACGATAACCTTAATCCTCAGCGTCTTTTATCTTATTTCTGTCTCCAATCCCCAAGAATTAAGGGTTACGCCTTTGACCCACACATACTGTATGTGAATGAAATACCAATGCACATTAATGCAAATTATGTGTAATATGATTCCCATTTTCACGGATTTCATTTAACCAGCACAACTTTTACGAATTCTTCCAAATGACTTGCGGAAATTTTAGAGGCTAGAAAAAGTTTTGAAACATACATATGTTTATTCACAAGTGTATTTAATATTCTGTGTATGCACCCCCAGCAGCAATGACTTATCGAGTCTACGAGGCATTGGCGTAACAGTCCACCTTGCTCACGTTTTTCTGTGCACACCAGTCCGTCTTGCCACTATGCATTTGCTGAGACCATCATTGTGGAGAGCGATGATGGCACCTTGGGTAGTCCTGCATCTGTCTTCCACATAAAAGGTTGTTGGAGACAAAACTCGGCGGTTCCACTTATCTACCACTTCAGTTGCGCATATGTAATAAATGATTTAATTCCACATCGAATCACAAAAACCGACGTCCTCATGCATAAATCAAAACAAGTAAAGGAGGTTATACAAAGATATCAGTTTCTTAAGGACAGTGCTTTGAAAGAGTAAACTATCACACTGTGGTAGGGGAAAATACCACACATTCTCAAATTATTTCAGTTATTGTTTTCTTCTACTTGTTGGTTTTCTTCCCATTTGTCTACCAATCAAAAACTACAGAGCATTCGACTGTTTATTTTTAGCGCGAATAGAAGGCTATTGTAATACAGTAGAGTACCGTATACTGTAGCAGACTTTTGTGCGATGAAGTATATTAGGGATATACAGTCAGGGGTACCAACCCAACGAATACCACGCGTGGCTGAGGTATTTCCTCTTTCCCGGACCATCTGGAAGCAGCTGAGGATCCGTCATCGCAGGGAGCGAAAAGAAGAGGATCTTAATCAGAAGGACAGGACGTCGTGTCAATATTGTTCGGACGATCGCGCGCGAGTGTTAGTGTTCATTGTGGATAGCCACCCCAGCAACTGCGAGAAATTGGTGTCAGAAAAGACTAGTCTCGGTGCCAAAATTGTTCGGACAGGAACGCGGGAGAGTTAGTGATCAAAACGTACGAGGTCCCGTGTCAATGTGAAGTGCTCTTTCCGTTAATAAACAATGACATTGTGTACACAACTAGGTAACGTTGCGTAAATTAAGTAAGGGCGCCGGAGTAGTGTTTGTGACATCAGTTATGTAGTGAGTCCCTACATTGATTGTGGGGTCTGTGTGGTCGTGTTAAGTGTGACATCACTCGTGCGTATGGCACGTCACGTATTTGAGGGATATCACTCATGCGTATGGCACGCGCTTGTGTGACTTCACTCGTGCGTATGGCACTGTTTGTGTGACGTCATTCGTGTGTATGGCACTGTGTGACGTCACTCGTGCGTATGGCACTATTTGTGTGGCGTCATTCGTGTGTATGGCACTGCGTGACGTCACTCGTGCGTATGGCAAACGTGAGTGTCTCACTCGTGCATATGGCACTGTGTGTGTGACGTCACTCGTGCGTATGACACTGTGTGACGTCACTCCTGCGTATGGCACTGTGTGACGTCACTCGTGTGTATGGCACGCGTCAGTATGACATCTCCAATTGCGTGATATCAGCGATCGTGGGAAGTCACCATGAGTAGTAGCTGATACCAAGAGGTACTGCATACATTTATCGAGAAAGACAGATCCCCCTCGTTGTTGTGGCAGTCATGGACACGGAAGGGAATGAGTTAAAAATGAGACACTGTCGCGCCACACCCACCCCGCCAAGGCAGCCTGAGATAAACCTGTATCCCGAGAAGAGAAGGAACCACCAGACGGAGGGATTGAGGGGCAATTATCTGAGCAATACCAACAGACGCAGCAGATGTTCGCTCACATGACAGCGATGTAGAACATTACCAAAGGTATGAATCGACTACAAAGTAAGGGCAGCACAGAACTAAGTGATAGCAAAGCCAACCTCCAAAAGGAGGACCTCAAAAGAACAACTCAGGAACCCATAGCCACTGAGACACCGGCTGATGCAGCATCATACTTCACAGACGGCTCGGTGGACCAAAACATCATAGATCCGAAGCGGCCTTCTACACCCAAGGTCAGACCCTCCTATTGAGACTTTCTAATGACTGCTCCACCCTACAAACAGAGCTGGTAGCAATCTCAAAGGCCCAAACAAACCACATTCACCACCTTCTCCGGGTCATCACACGATACCCACCACCCAGATAGCTTAGGAAGTATCCTCCCCAGCAAGTGCGGACTCCAGTTCGGGGGGCGCGCCACTCCGAAACTGACCACGTCCAAGAGTGGGGGTTGGTGGCAAGCGTTCACTGACCGAGGGTCCGCTTACACTTGCAAACCTGCAGTATCCTTTCATACCTGCAGGTCGGATAATTTCCATACCCAATCCCAAATCCGGCCTGGCTGCTCCAAGAGCTCCAGCCAGAACCACCAAACGGGCCGCCTACAGGCAAAAGCCCTTGTTGAACTACGGCCCAACACTCTCAACAACAACTGTAGGTTATGTATCTAAGCTACTGTGCCGAGTAGCATTTATATATATAATCACGTGGCAACACTGCACGTGTTATGTGGCAACATTGCCCCGAGGCTGCCATATGGCAAGGCGCCTCAGTCTGACTGTGTGAGCCGCGCATGGCACACGCGAGTCACCACTTGTATTTCTCTCATCCATAATAAACGGACTCAGTGTTACTCAGTGTTTCCCTAGCCATCACTGCATTCTTCAGGGCACACTAG